AGGTTGAGGGGCATAGCACCAGGCCCGGAAGCGAGTGAGAAAGTAGGCGAAGAGATGGACGCCGCTAGGGCTGATGTGCTCGCGGCGGTAGATCATGGCGGAACCGATTATACAAGGAGAAACGACGCAGACGATGAGGAGGCAGTTCATTGTGCGGTAGCGGCCGGCAAGCCAACCGGTGCCGGCGATGACCGATGCAGCTAGCATCGAATAGGGGATATTTATGAGAGTCGACTGCAGACTTGTGAAGCCGAAGGACCGGATGACAAGGTTGGCGAAGTTTTGAGTGCCACCGTTGGGGATCTGCGTGGTCACCTCGAGGGCAAAGATGAGCCACGTCTTGGGATCGACGAGGCATTCTTTGACCTGGTCCAGGCGCCAATTCGTCTTCTCTGTGCTGCCTGTACCGGCAACGACGACACGGCCTGCGGCAAATTGACGTTCCTCGGCGTTCAAGAAACGAGCGTTAGAGATGCGATCGGGGAGAAACGTGAAAATAGCAAACGACCAGACGAAAGTGCCGAGACCGAGGATGAGGTACATGGCACGCCAGGGACCGACGACATTGTCTGGGCTAATGTGACCAGCGCCAAAGGCAAGAAGACTACCAACAAGTCCACCGACGGAGTTGCCAGCAAACCAGATCCCTGTACGGAAGGGGATCTCGTCGCGAGTATACCAGGTTGATGTGAGGAACATAAAGGCTGGAGTCAAGGTCGCCTCAGCGATACCCAGCAAGAAGCGGACCGCGAGAAGGCCGCCAAAACTGGTGCATGCTGCTGTCACCACCACGACAGTGCCCCAGAAGAGAGCATTGACGGTCAGGTACTTGGCCACCGGCAGACGAGTAATGAGAAGCGAAGTTGGGTACGTCCAGGCAAAGTAGCCAAAGTAGAACATGCTCGAGACCCAGCTGTATTGCTGACCCCTCAAATTCTATCATTTGTCAGTCGTGAAATGAGCATTATGAGCTGCACAGCTCAAGAAAGGAACACAAACAGTGTCTTCTCTGAGACCAAAAACAGAAGCACTCGACAAGATGGTGCGATCCATGAAGTTGAACATGTAGGTGACGAATAGAACAGGGATGATAAAGCGATCAATTTTGCGCACCACGCGCTTCGCCATGGTGGCATCGACATGCTGACGCTGCTCTTCAGGCTCCTCTCCTGGCCTCGTATCATCGGCGGACGAATCCATGACCTCTGTCGTTATCAAAGTCGCGTTAGAGTGCTGATGGTCGAAAGAAGCTGTTGCAAGGAGAACAAACGCGGGGTCAGGCCCAACCTTTTAAGCTGCCAGAGACACCAGCTCTGATCTACAAATACAGGTGCCAACAAGCCAGAGATCGGCACGAGACACGCAGCACCGGGTTCCGTCGCTCTTAAAAACCAGCACGATAGTATCGCCAAGATGATATGTTGCATGGAGATATCTTTCCCTGGCCCTATGGCAATCGCGGCTCCGGTTTTCTCGGGGTACACACGTGGTCTATCGTCTATTGTGGAGGAAGGATCTGGCGCCTGTAAGGTCGATTAGGGTGCGCTCCATCTCTTCAGCCATTGATAATGTCGATCACCGTCAATTACTCCGACCGAGGGCTCTAGACTCCGCTGTCGGCCGATAGGCATGGTGCTTTCGCCTGTGATTGCCCGCAAGTCGAGCGACATGTCATTCGCTATCACCATGTCGCTCGCTATCACCTGCGATTATCTTTGCCACAAGACGACGCTGCCATGCAGTGCGGTTGGAGCCGACAGCGTCGGGGCGGGCCCGACAAAGTTGTCGATCGTAGATAAGATCGAGAGCTTCTTTTGGAAAGGAAACAAGACGTCTTGAACTTGACTCAAGATATGTGTACCTCACATAGTTTACGTTTCCCAAAGTCACACTATTCCTTGAAATTGTCCGAACGCCGCCACATCATCATGGACGGCCTCGCAATATCCCCCTTCATCGCCTCCCTCCTCAAGGTTGAGCTCCACGTCCACATCGAGGGCACCCTCCTGCCTTCCCTCCGCTGGTCCCTCGCCAAAAGTAACAACATCTCCCTCCCCTATCCAACCTACGAGGCCCTGCTCGCCTCATATGCCGTCTCCCTGACCCACCGCCCCGAGCTCACAGGCCGCACGCCCGGCATCCCAACCTTCCTCGAAGCCTTCGCCGCAGGCTGCGCGGTCCTCGTGACGGAAGATGACTTTTACGACCTGGCCATGTCGTACCTCGCCCGCTGCGCCGCCATGAACGTCCGCTACGCCGAGCCCTTCTTCGACACCCAGGGCCACACCGTTCGCGGCGTCGCCTCAGAGACGGTCATGAACGGCTACCTGCGCGCCCAGCGGGAGGGCGCGGCAAAATACGGCGTCCGCTCCAACTGGATCTACTGCTTCATCCGCGACCGGCCCGTCGACGAGGGGCTAGCCGCCTACGAAGCCGCGCGCCCGTGGGCCGCAGGCGCGGTCGAGGGGGGCATGGGTCTGTTCCACGCCGTCGGGCTCGCGAGCAACGCTTATGAGCGGCCGCCGCTGCTGTTCGAGGAAGGGTTTCGCCGTGCCAGGGCGGATGGGCTGCGTGTCACGATGCATTGCGATTTTGGGCAGAAAGACACCCACGTTCATGTTTCCGAGGCCATATTCGATGTGTGTGATGGTCGGGGCGCGGAGCGGATCGACCATGGGCTCGATGCTGCTGACGACGAGAGATTGATGACCGGTCTTGTGGACAGGGCTATCGGGCTGACGCTGTGTCCGCATGCATACCACCGGCGAACGGCGACAGAGGTGTTGTTCCCGAGAATACGACAACTGGTGGACGGCGGCGTCAAGGTTTGCATCAACAGCGATGACCCTGTGTACATGCATGATGTATGGATCGATGGGAACATGCAAAAGGTGTATACCTTTTGTAGTATGAGTAAGGCGGAGATGGTTCAGTTGGCGAGAAACGGTGTGGACATGGCTTGGGCGAGTGCTGAGATTAAACAAAAGATGTACAAAGAACTAGATGCAATCAATATAGACGACTAATATCCGGTCAAAAATGTTGGGCTTGATGCCTGCTTCGTTGTCGTGTGAGTGGCCATAATACATCAAAGTAGCCGACTTCCAAGAGTTTGTTGAACACAAAGTGAATTAGAAATATGATGACAAACCATATCCGGAACGCCCTGCAAGTAAAAAGACCTCGTACGTAGCAGTACTACCTCTACCACTATTAAATGGGTTGTATCAAGAATACACAAAGAAACGTGCGAAAGAGACTCCATCACGAATCATCCCTTCAAGCCTTCTTGGGCTTCTTCACATTCCACTTCTTGACGCGGAATGCCCAGTATGACACAACAGCAACGAAAATGTTGAAGAGGATGAAGGCCCACATGATGCCAAAGTTGCGCCACCTTTCAGAGTAGAAAATCCTGCTGCCAGCAAGATACTGGTCAGCCACGCTGAGTGAGCAGTAGCGGCAAGACTCAGTGTCGTTAGGGTTCTGCAGCACGCCGGGGGCCTGCTCGAGGAAGGCCTGGAGATACTCGCCGCACGTCTGACCGGAAGGCGGGCTGAAAATAGATACCTCCTCTTGCGAACACGTGACGGGGCGATCGTGTAGCTGCGTTGAGACAATACCGCTCACCCAGTAAGTGAAGGGCGAGACACGGTACATAAAAATCCAGAATCCAGGAAGGTTGTCGGGCGTCTGCAAAACACCGCAGAATGTCAAGCTCATCAGAACTAAGAGGGTGACAACCGCGGAAGCAGTCAGGGCATCCGGGAAGGCGGCGATGGTCATCTGTGCGAACGAGCTCGCATAGAGGAAGAGCTGGATGCAGAAAAGCAAGACAAGACCCTGACGTGCGGAGGATTGGACGCCAATGATGGGGTAGTAGAAGCAAGCGTAGATCAGAATAGCCGTCACGATCTGGTAGGGAATCTCGACGACGACGTTGGCAAGCATGAAGGCCTTCCAAGAGTAGGCCTTGCTAGGACGTTCGCGGACTTCGTAGAGAGCGCGCTGGGTCAGGAAGTGAGGCTGAATCTGTTGGACGAGGGTGGAGAAGATGGTGATGACCATGAAAACGCCGAAAATGACGTTTTGCATGCCAGCGAGGGATCCCTCAGCGCCATAGAAAGAGAAACCGATGAAAAGACCAGCGGCAGTTCCGAGGATAAACTTGGAGAAGACGTAACTGGGCATACGCCAGTATTGTTGAAAGACGCGATGCGTCACGGCAACGAGCTGAGCGGTGAACGGCATGGCGAATTCAGAGTGAGCACCAGCCTCGTGCTCGCCAGCCACTGGTTCGGCAACCTTCTCGGCATGGATGCGTTCAAGCTCGTCTCGGACGCTTTGACGCTCTGGGCTTCCGTTCCAGACGCTGTGCCAGTCTTCGCCCTTGGGGTTTGTTCCGTTGTTGACGATTTCAAGCATGTACTCAGCCGGGTTCTCGTCGTCGTGGCACTTGCGAGCGCCATTGGTCTCGAAGTAATCAAGGAGCGTGTGCGAGTTCTCTCCAATGTTGCCAAAGTAGACCGTCTTGCCGCCAGCTGCCAGGAAAAGCAAGCGATCGAACTGCTGGAACAGAATAGCACTAGGCTGATGCACAGTACACAAGACAGCCTGACCCGCATCTGCGAGCTTGCGCAGGAACGCACAAATGGCCCAAGAGCTCTGAGAGTCGAGACCGCTCGTAGGTTCGTCAAGGAAGAGAAGAAGTTTAGGCTTCGCTGCGAGCTCGACACCAATGGTAAGGAGCTTGCGCTGTTCAACATTGAGACCCTCGCCGGGAATACCGACAACGGCGTCAGCAAAGTCGCGCATGTTGAGCATGTCAATGACTTCCTCGACAAAGGCATGCTTCTCAGCCTTGCTCACGGTCTTGGGCTGGCGAAGCTCAGCACTGAACTGCAAGCTCTCACGAACAGTGGACGTCTGAAGATGGAGATCTACACTAGTCAGTAAGGAATGAGATACTTGGAGTCACGCAAAACTTACCTTGCTGCTGAACATAACCCGTCTTGCGCTGGAAGCTGGCATCCAAAGGCTTTCCATTGACAAACATGTCGCCAGTAATAACGCCCATGGTAGTTCTCTGGGCCAAGACGTCGAGAAGAGTTGTCTTGCCAGCACCCGAAACACCCATCAGGGCAGTCAATGTGCCTGGCTTGACCCATCCAGAAACTTCGTTGAGAAGCCGGCGCCCTTGGCCCTTGATCTCAATGTCATAAGACACGTCTCTCCAAGTAAAGATATCCTTTTGAGGCTCAATCGATCCAACGTTGGCACCAACTTCCTCCTTAGACGCAGCCTTGGCAGCCATCTCCTCATTAGCGGCGCCGCGGTCGACTCCGTCCTTGAGGTGGCTGGGAACATGGCCGCGCTGGAATACAAGAACCTCGGCAGAGCTGCTCGTCGTCGAGTTGAGCTCGGTGGCTGCGAAGTAGACAATCATGAAAAAGATCAAGAAGCCAATGAGAATACCAAAGTTGCGCCAAACGTGGGAGTAATAGTAGTGGTAGTTTGTCTCCATGAAGGCGTCACCACTCACAGTTCGCTGTCCAGGGACGGAACCCACAGTCGTGCAGATCCAAGAGTCTCCAACGGGCGGCGAATAAGGCGGAACAATGGTGTCACACTCGTAGTTCTGGCCATGGAACTCATTGGCGATCAGGATTTCGAAAGCGTAGAAGATTGGGTTGATCCAGCGGATCCAACCGAACCAGGGGTGCATTTGCGGGACAGTAATAACGAAACCGGTGTAGATGACTAGTGCCAAGACCATGACACCAGCCAACATCATAGCTTGTGAGACGGTCTTGGTGACAGCCGCGAGAGTCCGGAAAATGGCGCTCATAACGAAGGTGGAGATGTACGTGATCAGGAAGAAGAGGAAGAACTGTCCAGGTTCCGCTCTCAAGCCGGCCAGAAAGTAGAGAACGACGTTAAACACGGTCGAAGTGATGAACTTGATCGGTATATCGGAGACGATTCCAGCTATAGCTTCTGCTGCGGGATGATAGAAGGCATACGAGGCGTGCTTTTCGACGATCGGGCGTTGAGAGTACAGGTTGTTAATTTCAGAGATGGCAGAGAGAGCGCTGATCAGGATGGCTTGGAAGAGAACGGATCCCTTGCCAAAGAGACCTGCCGTTGTATCTGGATTCTGGTGAAAGACGGAACCAATAATGAGAGCCATGACGAGCTGCATGACTGCATGGCTTGCAGTCGCCGAAATGTCATTCCAGATACGCTGGTAGGCTCGTCTCGTCGTGAGTTTGACCTGCATGGCCAGACTGACTGTATAGGGTGACTTGGGGCGGACGTGCCTCGACTGTCTGATATTCTTCTTCTCGCGCATCTCAGAAATGGTTTGGCCGTGGGCATCAATTGGGAACTCTTGTTGATGCTCTTCGATCTCGTGACGAAGAGCCTCGAACTCGGGAGATGCGAGCCAGTACCGCTCGAACTCATCCGAGGTACGCGGCACCTTGTTCTCCATGCCGTTGCGCGCCTGACGCTCTTGTGGGTTGGTCACAGATGTAAGGAAGTCGCCAGTAGTCTGGCGTTGGGGGCAATGCCAGCCCATCCGCTCAAAGTACGCCTTGGCCTCGCTGGCACGGCCAAAGAAAATCTCGCGACCCTCATAGAGAACGACAGCTTTGTCAAAAAGATCATAGATGGCCTGGCTGGCTTGGTAAATTGCCACAGCGTGGGCGGAGCCGGAAAAGTCGGCAGCGAGCCTCAAAGACTGTACGAACTTGAGGGCTGTTGCGGAATCAAGGCCACGGGTGCTGTTGTCCCACGCCGCCATAGGAGAGCCAGCAAGCATCATTTCGGCGATACTGACACGCTTCCTCTCGCCACCCGAAACACCGCGGATGAAGTCATTGCCAACCTTGGTGTTGTAGGTGTGGCTCAGACCACAGACTGCCATGACAATCTGAGCGCTTCTCTTGTGGTATTCCTCGCGGGACATCCTGTGGATGCGGTTCGACGGTGTGCGCACGGCAGCAGCAAACTCAAGGGTTTGGCCGACAGTCAAGTGAGGAAAGTGCTTGTCGACCTGAAAAGAAATCGAGTCAGTACTTCTCAAGCAGGCAGGACGAGACGGTTCTCACCTCTTGGTTGTAGGTTGTTTCACCCTTGAACTCTTTCATCATCTCCTTCTGCGGAATGCCGTTGTAGTGCACGACGGACTTCTCGTCCATGTGGAGACCATGGAGCTGGCCTGTGATGGTCTTGAGTAAAGTGCTACAGCCAGAGCCAGGCCTGCCAAGCACGATGAGAAGCTCGCCGGTGTTGAGCAGGCCATTGAAGCTGCGGAGGATGGGCTTCGGTTCCTTCTTGCCGAAACTGAAGTGCTCTCCCAGTTTGAGGGGAGCTTGGAGCACAGAGGCGACCGTTTGCTGAAGCTGCAAGGCGTCTCCGGTACCCGAGACACTCAGGTCCTTGAACGCGACGCCGGCCGACTTCAAGCTGATACCCTCTTGTCGCAAAGCTTCGATGGTGTTCTGCAGCCACTTCTTCAGGTCAAAAGACTTGCTTGTAGGGTCCATGGACGGATCGCTGTCACTGTCAAAGGAGTCAGGGACCTGTCCCTCTGGCAAGGACGCCAAGGATTGCCGGCGACGTTGCGACATGGCCGTGGCGATCCTGCGCAGTTCCCTGCGGTCACCCTCCTCCATGATGAGGGTAGAATCCCGGCGTTGAAGTCCATTGTCTTCTCCATATGTTGCGTCACTCTCGGAGTGTTTGTGGTGATGCCGGCTAGAAGAAGTGATGGGCGCAAAGGCAGTCTCGGTGGGCGAGTACTGGTCCGTATCGCGGATGGGCGACTCCTCGCGAGACGGATCAGCAGCTGGCGAGTGCCCGTTCATCGTGAAGATGACGGTGCGCTAACGAATAGATGTGTTGATGGTTGTCTCGGCGACTTTGATGTGAGTGGTGTGAGTGTCAACTGAAGCCTTCCTCGGCAAACAGACAAAGTCAAGAGCAAAATATGATTGGGAATAGTGAAGGGACAGTTGATCCAGATTGGGGACGAGCTGCATAGATAAAGTACGGCACCAAGAGGCTCGGGAACTCCCTGGAAGCCGATTGGAATGAGCCCATCGTTCCGTTGTTTGCGGACTCTAGAGTACGCCGTGTATTGACCAACATAACATGCCGACAGAACACCCCGGGCCTCCGTTCTGCTCAGTGTTGGGATGGCCGCCGTAGACCACAACGCGCGCTAGGACATTGCGGAGAGCAGGCGAGCGCCGAACATGTCGTCACCCTGCATCCAGCTCAGTAGCTAAGGCAGCTCAGAGTGCAATTTTTTGAGCGGCGGCCCATAGCCGGCGCGTACCTGGCAGTATTGAGTTCAGGCTCGGGGTGCTGGTGCATACCGAAAGCGTCGAGTAAGTGCGTTGTGGTTGTGTCTTAGAAACTTGGCTAGGTCTGGAACAGTTTAGCAGGGTTTCCCGGACAGACCCCAGCGCAGCTCCAGCAAGGCTCAGTTGCGGTGGGTTTGGTGGGTTTTGGTGGGTCGGAGCATTGGGGCCAGCAAAAGTCGGGCAATAACCCACCGCCCAATGTTGACGTATTACGCTGCTGAGACAGCACCTGTCGATGTCTGCACCAGGTGAAATGCTTCCAGCTTGCAGAATGGACGGGCGCCTCTTGAAGTATCACAGGGGAGGCCATCAGTAAGCTCGGATCAGGATTGGCGGATGGCGTCCATCCAACAACGTCGTTGCTGACATTCGAACTGAGAATGCACCAACCGGCTGGGCACGTATTTTCTCGTCGTACTCATTTGTGCTTAGGGTATTGTTGATGTGCGATGTGGCTTATTAGCCCCCTTCTTCCAGGCTAACAATCCATGGCAGGGCCAGGTAAGGCCAGAAAAGGGCTGAGGTGTTGCGTGGACCAGGTGATATCATGGCCTTACCTGACGTCGAGTCAGTGGTGTCGGAGTCGGAGCGCCGGAAGCAACCGAGGCCCGCGTAGATCGCCCCTCTTCACAGGCGATGCGCAACTGCCAGACCCTCCTCTAAGAACACTTCATGTCAGCTTCTGACGGGGTTTCCGATTGCAAGGGAACGGCCAGTGAAGGACTCCGACCGCCCGGTCCCTTCTCCAAGCAGGTGCAATGTTAAGCCGACTCTTCACGTCACCGATTGGCGTGGTCCATCATGGGCACCGAGGCATTGTCTACCCGTAGCAACAGCGATATTTGTCTGTTGCAAGGCCGACACGGCCGACGAGCGGCCCGGTGCCAAGTCCCTGGTCCATGGATGCCGAATCAGGTGCGTTTCGGGGACATACGCGGTCGAAAGACCCGATCTTCTAGTCGCGGTCGTGGCAGTGGGTGATCGACGACAAAGTAGGTGACTTTTTTTCTCTTCCCAGTGGATGTTGTGCGAAGCGAGCCACGTGGTGGTGGTTTGATTGTGCGCGGATTCGCTTTCGTACCTTCGAAATCGAAATTGGGCATTCCAGACATGACGCCATTGTCGCCAAGCAGCTCGCTGCTGCCACAACAGGGGGGGCTGTGAACGACTTTCATCATCCTGATAAACCATCGTCCTGATGAAGAATTGATCGCCTTCTCGAGAACTCTGTGGTTCGATGGGGAAATTGGGCGAATAGTTGTGCCGATGATATGGCAGTGATGTGATAATCATGTCGAAGTGTGTAGAAGGAGTGCACTCGAAGCGACCCTGGCTGCTTCATTCATGTGGAGGCCGCTTACTTCATCGGACATCCATGTATCGGACCCGGGCAGAACCCGATGGTCTTAAGGTCTTTCAAGACCAGGACCTCTGCTCGTGTTCAGGCGACTTCAGAACGTTAAAGCCTTCCAAGCAGTTGAGCACTTCTCTGTTGATATGTTCAATTACGCTCTGGAATGTTGTCACACAGGCTGGAAGGGTACATACAATGTTGGCCCCATCAAAAATGGACGGTGGGGCACCTTCCCGCTCCTATCCCCGCATCACCAAACAGGCGAGTACCTTAGATGGATGACACCTGCTGACATGACGTGAAGTCGAACTACAGGCATCAATCAGCAAGTGCTTCAAGATCCTTCAGGTAGCTATCGCGGATGCACATCCCACACAGCATTATTGTGCTCGGCGAGAACATCACGCAATGCCCCTCACATGGCAATGTAGTCCAAGACCCCACCAGCCATGGTCATGTCAGAATCGATCATGCACCTCTTCGCTGGCACCTGCTCCTTGCCCCTGATGTGGCCTTCGTCCATCGCCGAAAACCTATCCACAGATCTCTCACACCAATCTCGTGTGCAGCTCACCTGCACGTAGCCGACGAGGCAGCTGCAAGCCTCTTTCCTCCTATCGTCTTCTCACTCCCGCCAAGGGACAAGCACGCGGGGGTGAGGCCTCTTTCACCCCGCCCACGATGATCTTTTTTCGCGACACGATTTTCCAAGCACCACGTTCATCTCCTCAAGGTCTCAACTCGGGCGGTCCTGACCGCTCACTTTCCTTTGACATGTCTCTCTTCGACCTGGCCGCCAAGTTTGGCGGTCTCAGCACCCAAGAGTCGGATGATCACGAAGGCTACACAGGTAGGTTCCCAGGCTGGACCCCTGATGTCTCATGACAATTTCAGTCGCCGCATGCAGCCCAGCACCTCTCGCCCGTCTTCCCCAGGCTGATTTTCGCGACTCCAGGGCCCAGAGACTACGGCTACACCCAGACCGCCGCTTACGAGAGCGGCTATGATGGCGCCCCACCGACAGGCTACCCCAGCGGCCCCCAGCGAGGTCAGGCCGAATACAAACGGTCCCACGAGGGCTACAGCTCAAGTGACCCGGCAAGGGCCTGTGTTCAAGAGAGCGCATACGCCGCCCCGCCGTCGGCAGATGAATATCACCCCCAGCAGTCTGACTTTGGTGGCCGCGGCGATCGTCCCCGCTCGCCGGCGCTGCCTGACGGCTGGATCAAGCGCTTCGACGAGCGGCATGGGAGATGGTACTACGTGGACGAGACAACAGGCACATCCCAATGGGAGTCTCCCAGAAAGTCTGATGATGATGGAGGAGGGTACGGCGGTTCGCAGCATGCTTCGAAGGACCAGGTGTACAACGCTCATTCTGGCGCTGGCGAAGCAGCTGGGCTACTATGCTGGACACCACTATGGGCAGAATGCCTCCCTGTATGGACAGGCCCCTGTCCAAGACTACCGATCCGGCCAACATGGTGGCGCGTCCTATGCCGAAGGTTTCACGGCCTAGAACAGCATAGGCCTGACCTGGCAGAAAAGCGCCAAGGCAGTGGATACGGCGGTGCTCTCCTGGGTGTCGCCGGCGGCTTGGCTGTTGGAGCAGTGGGCGGAGCTCTCCTTGTCAACGCTTTGGGTACGTTGTTTGTCATGATTCGTCCCACATGAAATGGTCGCGACATAATTCTGACATGTCCAAGAAGGTTCTGATTCCGAACCCGAAGCTGCAGAGGCCCCTATCGGACTTGCTCACAGGCCATATGACGAGACAAGATACAACAGTCATGAATATGGGGCGCCTATTGCATATGAAGAGGATCAAGATTTCGTTCCATATGAAGGGCAGAAGCCTTCACCTGGCTCTGACAGCGAAGAGTCGCATGAAGATACTGGGTCCTCTGAATCTGAATCTGGAGACGATGAAATAGAAGCAGAGGAAGAATTTGAGAAGCAAAGTTCTCATGAGTCTTCTGGCTCCGAGTCAGGCGACGATGACGGTTCTGACCATGAATATGAGGACCAAGAATACCCAAGTGGTAATGACGACGAATGGTCGGGAGAGGAATAAATATGTAACAGCCAGGCATTGTCATGCCACAAGAACGAGGTTCGGCGCCGAGCCCAACGGGCTTGGGCATCCCCATTACTTCTTGCTTTTACCTTTGTACATGTCAACAAAAAATACCCGCACTTGAGGCGTTGATGTAGATGAGTTAGCATGCGGAAGGCTTTCAAGTACGACATCCGAAGGGAGCCATAGGACAGCCTCAAGATCTTCGGTTAGACCTTAGTCAGAAATCTTGATTGAGAGGGAAGACTTCGAGGACAGAGCGACAGACATCAATTCCAAACGATGACCCCAGAACCTCCTGTGCTGTGTAGTGCTCTATGTCTAGTATTGTACGTCAGAAAACGGCACTTACAATCTCTGGCAAGTGCTTGTCTAGTGGAAACACGCCCGGGGCTCATACTCTGCTGCGATGAATTTCAACAACACGCACAAGATTCCTCGTAAGCAATTGTCGTGGGTTCTCCTCAGAAAGTGTGAATCTGATCCTTTCGATATCCCAACTGTTCCAAAACACCTGGTGAACCCCTCGAGCCAACCAACGTCGCCTCCATCGCCGGTGGCCCGCAAACAAAGACCTTGGTGTCTTGCTTGGTGGGATTGGGTGCAACTTGTTCAAGAAGCGCCTTCGTGACATGACCCTGTCGGAGTAGAGAGCCCGCCTCCGGCCGGCTCACGGTGTAGATGGCTTCAAACCGACCGGGAAACTCCTTCTCGAAGGCGTCAAACTCGGTTTTCAACAGGGCATCCACATCCGTATTGATGCCGAACACGAGCGTGATTCTTGTCTTGTCTTCAGGATTCCGCAGAATCCCCTGGGCTAGCTGATAGATCGGGGTAATGCCAGCCCCGCCAGCAATCAGCGTGACGTGGGGAACGGCATTTGGCTTCCATGCGGGGCCTTTGAGCGCAGCAGCGAAGAGGAGTGTTTCGCCAGGCGATAATGAGTGCAGGTGCGTGCTCTGCTTTCCGTCTGGATACAGCTTTACAAGCAAGTCCAAAGTCCCAGGTTGATCTGCGCCATTGTGAGTATGAGCCTTGCTTAGACGGCGCTGTAAAAGGCCATACCTGATGGACTGATTGGTGTATATGGTCTTGCTACTGGGAACCATCGGCCTTTTGGCCATGACATGGTCAAAACGGCGGCTGAGGAACCGTTAGAGTTCGTTTACTCAACATGATTCTGATTCTTGCTTACAGGTGAGAGCTAGCCCACTGACCGCGTTTTCGTCCGGTAACCTGAAACGGAGACGCTTGGTGTTGTGATTGACAACTTCGCTACTCTCTAAAGGCAATGAAACGAAAGCAGGACCACTGCCGAATACCTTTGGTGGGCTTCCCGAATCAGCATGAGCACTGCCGGTCATCATGCGGGAGTAAATGCCCAGACCGATGCCACCGGCAGCGATGGCCGTAATGGCTTTTGTCGGCCGGATATGACGTAAAAAAGTGATGGACATGGTGGACAATGACTTGACTTTTTATCGTCGGACAACTAGATAGCTCAAATGTCGATTCCGTTGGTGGACAGCCTGCAGCTGTTTCTATTTATCTTACCAGGCGGAGAGCTCGGCCTCATGCCGGACTTCGGACATTATTGCTGGCAGGGTCCCGAGGGCCCCCCGCATTCGAACTAGACCAGCACGCCTAAAAACAGCACACCGGAACCAGAATTTCGGATAGTGCGAAAGGAAGTCTTCGGAGCGCCGGCCAAACCACTGTACCCTCTTGTGCATTGATTAGAAACTGTGCTGTTTCTTCTCCTTTTTCGGTCGCGATGTACGGCATTGGTGATGCTCACCGGTCAGTCTTCCCGTTTTCGAACAAGTACTTGGTAGTCAAGCTGAATTTTACAGAAGTAAAGAAACAGTGCGCGAGGAAAACATATACACTCATCTGCATCGTAAGACTTGCTTTTCTCTTATCGCGAGCTGTACAGCATGCTCAAAACTTGGTGCTACTCCCGCTTCAGACCAACTTTGCCAACGCCCCTAAGTCCCCAGACACTAACAAAGCAGGCCAGCAACTGCATCCCGAAACAAAGCCAAAAGACCACTCGGTATCCTTCCATGATAGCTTCAGGCGACTCCTTATTCTCGATGGAAGACTTTGCTGTAACTCTGTTCGAGGTGACTGCCATGACCATCAAGCCAACCGAATGCCCGAACTGAGCGACTGTACTAAAGACAGCACCTGCCAGTGCTTGTGTGCCCTCAGAGAATGCATCCGTAATGATGAGATTGGCGACCGTAAAAATGACTATGACACGATCAGTTGCATTCACAAGGAGCTCGTGTCCCGAAGTTCGGGGTACCTACCATCGACGCTGAAGGGGCATAAGAGTGCAGCCCAGAATGCAGCGACCCAGAAGTTCCAGGCCGGATCGATGAGGGCCATTATGAGCGGTGCAACGCATGTCAAGGCTGCCGAGACCGTAATGAGATGATTGGCGTTGATCTTATGAACAAAAAGTCCTGTGAACAGGTTGAGTAGGATGCCGACGACCACCTCGGGGAAGAAGCGAATGGCCGCGTCGAGCGCAGACAGCAGCTGGACCTCTTGGAAGCTGCAAGTCTGTCAGATCCGAGCATACACAAGTCAAGAAAACGGACTACTCACAACAGACTAAGGAAGTATTCTACGCCGTTGAGCACAGCGTACGTGAGAAAGACAAGGAGACAGATGGTGGTGAACGCTCTCTTGCGCCACAGTGAGTTCGGTATCAGAGCGATGCGACCCGATTTCTCGCGGAAATGCATCCAGAATCCAAAAGAGATGGCGGATGTGCCAGCAATGCATAGCATGGCAATGTTCTCGGCATTCTTGGCCTTGGCCATGTTGCCGGTGATGACCCTGTGCAAGCATCAGTCATGCGAACGAAGACGGAACGCCTCGGTAGACTCACGCAAGGACATAGGACGTGATACCCAGTGCTGCCGATATGAGGCAGGCGCCAATCCAGTCAATTTCACGTATGAATCGTGGCCAGGTGAACTTCTCTCGAGGGGTGTCCTGCGGCAGAAGCCAGATGCTCACCAAAAACAGCAGCCCCATCAGACCGGCTGTGAAGTAAAAGGCAAAACGCCAGGTTAAGTACGTGTCTACGACAACGCCACCGAGAATCAACCCAAAAGAAAAACCTAGGGGCTGGCTGAGACCGACACAGGCGAAGCCAACATTGCGCTGGCGTCCCGCGATGAAGTTGTTCGTCAGGATGCTGATCGTGGTCGGCAAGCAGAGGGACAAGGCGACGCCTTGGAAGGCGCGAAAGAGGATAAAGCGGATGCCATTGTCGGCGACGCCGGCTGCTGTGGTGAAGATAGACAGCAAGAAGCAGCCCATCAGGTTAATGTTGCGGTTGCCGATGAAGTCGGCGACTGCCCCAGCGACAACTAAGCAGCATGCGCTAGCTAGCCTGAGAGTATTGTCAGAAAGAGAAGGAACAACGCTGAGCCGTGGGAAAAACAGAACTCTTCTTACGGAAATACGGATGCTGGCCTGTGAAGCTCGATGTCAGTTTCAGACTGTGAAATTTTCATCTTTTATCAAAACACGAGACATACCACAAGAGCAAATGCGGCGCCAGTCCTAGATCCCGTGCAATCGTGGGCAAGGATATCGTTACAAGCCCGGTGCTCATGTTGCCAACAAAAGTAACACCAGTCAGGATACTGATGACCCAAGCGGCTTTTGCCCTGGACACAATCTTCACACTGTTGGGTTCCGCGATCTCCAGCATCGTCAGCGACTGCTGGGTGGGGTTTATAGTCGGTGAGGGCATAGCAGTCGGCTGCGCAGCGGCCTTCCGAGAGGGTGCAGAGAAACGCCGGAGCAAGGATGGCGTTCGGGAGATCCAATCCCGGATGTAACTCTTTGTTGAGGCCATGCTGCTGGTTGGGGAGCCAGAGGGAGACTCATTCGCGACGAAGAGACCGCGAGGCGGAGTCTTTGGCGTCATATCGGTAGGCTGAGAGCTGAGGAGTAGCGTCGATGGGTAATATGTGTCTCTCTGTCGTTGGTTCCAGTTGGCTTTTTGCAGGCTATTCCCGACATGAAGCTCGAGAAGAAGACTGAGATGGGATGCGGATGATGATTGCAGCTCAACTTATAGTTGGAATGAAGGTTGAAGGAAAACGCCCGGTCAAAGCTAGTCGTGACCCGCCCACGCCTTGTCTGTCATCCATCGACAGAAAGGCGTGAGCTTAGTTGATCCCACAACGTCTTAGAAAATTTGCGCAAATCCACTTCACAGCGATGAACAAGAAAAGTATAAGATTCAAACATGATTTTTCGTCAGTCAAGAGGGGTTTGAGACTTCGTCGGATTGGCGCTACCTTCGCTCCGTAGTGGTTTGCGCGCCAATCCGATTCAGAGTGTTCAATGGCGGGATGGCTGCTGTGCAGACACATGATTACACGGCCTTTTACGGGGCGCTCCAGGCCCACATGGCGCCGGGGGTATACACCCCCTGGCCGTACAAGAGGCTCCGGGAGTCACAGACCCAATGCTACCAATGCTTTCATACCTAGGCTTCTCGCCTGGGAATGCTGCTCAGTTGCTCATCCAAACTCCTGGGTCAATGCACAGGCCTTGAATGCAACGATGAGCATACGACGCGAAGATCCGATCGTTACAGACATGGTGATCGCCATACGGCCCCGATTCTTTGGACAGTGTACCAAGTTGCAGACCGAGGATTAGGGACACATTTGACCTGAGCGACTTCACCTGAATTGTCGAATTCGTTTCGAATTACCGAATCCGTAGTATTGACGACGATTGGGAGGCAAGTGGGCTCCTGACGACCTGCTCCTCAACATGACATGATATACCCAATTGCTACCTGCAGCTGGATGTCAGTTACAACGAACGCCATGACTACAACCAGTGAAAAATCAGAAGCCATGTTTGGATGAAAGTTCCAACCTTCTAATAGCCTACATGATGGCCTCGTTCCAATAATCACGTCAGTTGGCCGCGGCTGAAAGGTGTAAAGTCAAGAAGCACGGCAATGGTCCGTCGCTGATGAGACTCCAATGTATGCACCAGCAAGACTCAACAACTCCGCGTCCAATGGAAACGAGCAACAGACTTAAGAACCATGAGTCAGTCGTCTGTGAGTAACCATCGCTGCATGTAGGTAGTGGCAGCTCGGTTTATCTCGGCACGAACTTTGCATGTCCTGTCATGGAGACCTGCCTTCTTGGGGATGATCCCAACATGGGCTATCAGGTGGCAAGACGTACCGGCTCGAATCAGGATCTTCGTACACATCAGAAACCCCTAAGCTTACACCTACTCCAGAGTAGAACGTCCACAACGGCAACATGTTGCCAGTATAAGAAGGTGACAGCATCCAGGTGATTGGAGTGCAGCTGTGTCGCAATACGCAAGGCTATTGCTCAGCAACTCCAGAGTTGCAGTCGCATGTCCGGTGGTGTTGTCATCTGCAGGTCAACAACATGAAACAACGCATGCTGCAAGCACAACATTTCAATGACACACTTCATAGTGTCGAAATTGGCAAGTGGCATGGCAACTTGTGCAAAGCGCCGTCAGTATTGCGGCTTCGCTTGCCTATTGGTCACTCGAAGTGCATCGTGTGATAGGAATGCATTATGAGGCGCATCTTGAGCGTTGTTGCGGACGCCTCGTGGAGTGCCGAGCAGGTATCGTGGCAAACATCCAGCCCTGCAGCACGGCATTTGTATGAATGCAGCACCCGCCTGTTTCTCTGCAAAGGAACGCACAGTCCCAACCTTTATTCGGATAAGCAGCGGATAAGTGCTAGATTGACATCGGTAGTCTCCATGTTGGGGTTAACCTAGAGAGTCTAGAGGTCAACGACGTGCAAATGCCATGAGCCTGGTGCCCGTCACCTGCCATCTCTGGTAAACGGAACCTTGAACTGCGATACGGCTAAGGCTAGCTCTGGGGAGCAGCTTCTCCGGGACTTATCGTTGCCGATCATTCTCCATGAACTGGCCGAGTTGCTGCTTCTGGAATTAGACGATATTGTGCCCGTAACGCTATACCGCACATTGCAAAGCCCCAACATTCGCGGTCTGCTCCTTGCCCTGGCGATTTGATACCCTTGTGCTCGATGCTCGCATGAACACGAAGATTGTGATGGATCCATGTCCGAAAAAGCAAATACCCCTCGTCCAATAAAGCAGTGCGTCAAGTCGCAATACGCACTCACCAAGGCCCTCCTCCGGCTAAGGGCACATCAAAGACCGACTGCGGCTCTTGGCAAGTTGTCTTCCTTGCTAAAGATGGGAACATATTCCCGCTCATAACGGAGCACAGGCCTGAATTCGGTGCTGGCTCTAGCTCTAGTCAGGACTCGGCACTTGGTCAGATCAGGCAAGCCTCAGACCGAGTCGCTTGCTGGTGTAGAGCGATCGTCGTTGCTTGACGGGCCTCCTGGCCACGGTTAGGGTGGGAGACATTGCGGGGAACGCCTGAAGCAAGACCCAGTCGCGGCATACGAAACTGACCAAGACGGTATTCTTTCTGTTCATTGGCCGTTTGGAGCGAATAGGGAGGGCAGAGGGGCGAGTTGGGTAGCATCAGCGCATGCATCTCTATCGCCATACTTGCCTCCTTCCCAGAAAGGCAAGGCCTCCGCTATCGCCCTCATGCCCCCCTCCGGGATCTTGATCCCCTCCCGCAAGTGAATCGGATCTACAACCGGTGTCGGTCCCGGCCGTGCCTCCAATCGTTGTCTCTATCTGCCGCAGCCACCAGCCTGATCTTGAGCCCCAGATATCTCGTACTCAAGCTCACCTGCCGTGCTACCCCACACATATCCCAGGCATCCGAGCTGCATGGGGCCAAACAGGCTGCGTACACCTATGAAGCGACATGGTAGCACTGCAATCAAAAGCGCCATTGACGACGTGAGGCGCTTGAAGAGCCTCCAAGGCCCCCGAGTGCCACCATTCCCGACTTCCTTCCTAATGTGGCTGCTGTCCGGCAGAAGCAGCGCTGGCAACACCGTTGGCTTGGCGATGTCACTCAACTACCGGATTGGAGCTTGCCAAGCCTGTGAGGTGCGACGATGAATCGGACGTAACTTCACCTAACAACTTCAACTCCAGTATCGCGCGGAGTAGCCATCAGGGGGGGGGGGGCGAAGCCAGAATCTGGACCCGGGACGAGGGGAGGCGACGAGCTTCAGCAGGCTATAAGAAGGCTCACGATGTGCCCCGAAATGTGGTCGAAACTGCAGAGACTCATCTCTCAGACAAAGCATCACTCAAGACTCCTTCTTCTCAAGTTCTTTCAAAGCACGTCGGTCATCATGAAGTTCTCCGGTCTCCTGTACCTCGCCACCCTGGCCTCTGCCGCCTCTGTTGACCTCAACAAGCGCGACAGCCCTCTCGATATCAAGATTGAGAAGGTCGGCAACACCGCCATCAAGGCGAGCATCACCAACACTGGTGCCTCTGACCTTAAGGTCCTCAAGACCGGCTCGATCCTTGATGACCTCGAGGTTGAGAAGTCCGAGATCTTCTCTGGCTGTGCGTGCCGTCCAACACTTTCCTACGCATGCATACGATCCTTGACTAACATGTACCAACAGCCAAGAAGGTGGAGTTTGATGGTGTCCGGCTCCAGCTGGATACCACGGCTCTCAGCGAGGAGTCCTTCCAGGTCCTCGTGGCCGGCGAGACAGTCGAGCTGACCTGGGACGTCGCGCACGTGCACGATCTTAGTGCTGGCGGCGAGTTCGACATCAGCGCCAACGGCCGCTTCTCCTATGCCGAGGGTGACTCGACCGAGCTGACCGGCGTCGCGACCTACGCGTCCAACGTTGTGCACTCGACCGTCGACGGCGAGGAGGCCGCCAAGGTGCGCCGTGACTTCCACGAGACGATCAAGCGCGCCGTCGTCCAGAGCGACTGCACTGGCACCCGCCGCACGGCGACGATCAATGCGCTGTCCAACTGCCGCAGCCTGGCGCTCGCCGCGGCCTCGGCGGCCTCGTCCGGCGCCGCCGCCAAGATGACCGACTTTTTCAAGTCGTCGACCACGGCCACCCGCAACACGGTCGCCGGCGTCTTCAACCGCATCGCCTCCGAGTGCGGCAGCTCCACCGGCGGCGTCTCCCGCCAGTACTGCACCGACATCTACCCGGCGTGCTCGTCGGGCGTCATCGCCTACACGCTGCCGAGCCAGAGCTACATGGTCAACTGCCCGTACTACTTCTCGTCCTTCCCGGCCCAGAGCCGCACGTGCCGCGCCATCGACCAGGCCACGACCACGCTCCACGAGGTCACCCACCTGACCCAGATCCGCGGCACCCAGGACTACAACTGCTACGGCTACTCCTGCGTCCGCGGCCTGTCGGCCTCGCAGAACATCAACCACGCCGATACCTACACCCTGTTCGCCCAGTGTAAGTGCCGCCTCCTGTTGCATGATCGTGTCGCGGTGATACGGAAGCTGACCCAATTTATAGCCATCTACGCTGGCTGCTAAGCGTCTCGCTGTCGTGCGATTTACAAGGCCGCCGTGCCGGTTTTGGGATGTGATGCGAGGGTAGTTGACGGCGATGAAATGGGGCTCAGGTGCTTGATTAGAGGCGCCGGGGGTCAAAAGAGGTAGGATGATGCAGCGAGCTTTGGTTTTGGGGGGTTCCGTCTTCTTGGATATCCACGATGGATTGTCCAGTCGTAATGGGGGCTGCAGGGGTGTCATTGAGATAATACCAAAGATGACCAATGATCAAATCTGCTTCTCATGATTTGAGGATTCGAAAAGCTGTGTTCAGTTGTGTGACTGTGTCGTCTGTTCATCGCTTCATGTTCATGGCGAATGGCGAGGTGAGCGAATCTCAGGCTGGCTCATCCATCTGTCGAGCTGCCATTGGATGGAACAAACTTTCGGAATGACGGATGTGTCGCGTGTCCATGCGATCCCAGGCATGATAGCATTCGATGAAGACCATGGCAATGGAATGCTCGACGTAATGCATGAAATAGAGATGGACGATCGGTGGTTCACTGCCCAACGATGGTCCCATTCCTATGGCATGGTCACATGACTCGAGGCACTGCCACGTCTGTCACTGCCTTCCCGGGGAAAGCCTGCTTCTACTTGCTTAAGTACCTGGGTACCTAAAATGAAGGCCCGCAATGCGTTCATTCCCCCCAGACTCCTGTAGGCCAATAGCAAGCCTCGCATCGCGTATGATCTCATTCGTTCTAGCGCCATCCCAATGGAGCGCTCGGCCCAGGGCCGTGGCTCCCGTGACAGTATGGAGCTCCACCAAGCTCCAGGCGCAGCTCCAGGCGCAGGCACAAGCACAAGGACAAGCACGGGCACAGGCACAGGCCTGCCCAGCGGGAGCAGAACCTATCGCCTACCTAGGTAGGTACCTGTCTGTGCCTTAGGTGTGGACTGTGGACTGTGGACTGTGGACTCTGACGCCGGGAGCGGTGGCAGGCCAGCCCGCATTTGATGATTCAAGGCCCAACCCAACCCCAGAACCTTTCCACTGCATCTCGCGATGCTCCTCACCTTGGCCCGCCACCACACACACACACACACACACACACCTCAGCAACCCCCCAGCCACTCGTCTTTCGCCCTGGGCCATTGCACCCGCAACCCCGTGTAGACTGCATCGCTATGCGTGCGATCCCTTCGCCTTATCCACGTCACTGCATTTTCTGTACATGATTCCCCGCGCAGCGTCTCCGAGCTGACGAACACAATGGACGACACCGCGCGCACAGAATACCCGTCCATGCTTGTGAGCGCCCATCCCAATCTGCTGCCACCCTGCCATTGCAGCTGTCGAGCTTCGTCTTCGTGTCCACACGCTGCATCATTCGCTGACCTCGTATTTTCGTCGCCTCCAGGGATCCCTCCAGCCGACCCAAGCTGTCCACGTCCTGACCGAGCGAGTAAAGCGGATAAACAAGATCAATGGCGAAATCGCAGAATGGCTCCAGGTACGCTCGATGGACAAGCCACTCGGAGATGCACACTGGTCGATTGTTTGCTGAACAGACTTCTCTCTCAGGAACGCCGCAAGGTGGAGGAGCAATACGTCTTGAGCCTCCGCAAGCTACTCCAGTTCAAGGTTCCCAACGCCCAGTCCGAGCTCGGGTATGTTCTTCACATCCTCTCCTCGACTCTCTTGGCGCTCTCTTGCCTGTTTTTTTTTTTTTCTGTTTTTGACATGCTGACGGCACCCCCAGCGTCTTCCAGGCGCCATGGGACAAGATCCTCCAGGCCGTCGATGCAACCGCGCAGTCACACCACCAGCTCGCCGCCAACATTGACAGGGACGTCGAGGCACCATTGCGCGCTTTCGGGACCAAGCCGGAGATGCAGGACATGATCGCCACCTCTGGCAACCTCGCCAGCATGGCGCGCGACCTGGACGAAGCACAGAAGAAGGTCGAGACGTTGGGGAAGAAAGGCACAAAGGGCAATGCGCAGAAACTCGAGGCCGCCCTGTCCAAACTGAACTCGTCGACGCAACAGTGGGACTCGTCGGCGCCCTTCATCTTCGAATCGCTCCAGGCCCTCGACGAGCAGCGCGTCAACCAGCTGCGCGATCTCTTGACCCAATACCAGACGCACGAAAGCGACCAGGCCCAACGCAGCCAGGCGACGGCCGCCGAGACGCTGGCCTCCATGCTGGAGATCAGCACCGAACTCGAGATTGCCAGCTTCCAGGAGCGCGCCACGGCCGGAAGGCCGAGGCTGGAGAAGAGGCCGTCGACACGGCAGACTTCGCATACCGCAGGCGGCCACAGCCAGAGTCAGAGCCTAGCACCACCGAACCACAGCCAGATGGCCGATGACACGACAAGCGAGCGATCTGTGCCTGTCGAGCATAGGCCGCCACCACCACCCGAGCCCAGGCAAGAGACGAAGCAGGATGGCAAGACAGGTATGCGTTCGCGTACACACGAAAAAATATGCCCCGACATGGCCCACTGACCGTCGTGAACAGAATCAAAGCTGCGCAGTCGCATTGGCACGATGCTTGGCCGCCGACGGCAAAGCGTTCACAGCGGCTTCGGGTCGCTCTCCCCTGGAAAGTCTGGATCCTTTGGGCGCACGGGTAGCAGCCATGGCCGACCAGGACTGTCGCCTAGAACATCGTCAAGCAACCTTGGGGAAGCAAACAACCGCTTGTCCATGCTACCCGAATCACCGAGCGCGCCGAGCTCCCAACCGAACCCGCCGCAGACGATCCGTGAATCGGATGAGCAGTCTCCGCATGAGGGTACCAACGGCGTTGCCGAGACCACTGGTCAGGCAGCACTCAGCCGAACATCATCAGCCGCGGTCAACGGCGCAGACACCGTCGATGTGTCAGACGTCCCTCCTCCTCCAGGACCGCCGCCTTCGCAGCTGCGGGAGACGGAGAACAAGGATGCTGAAGGTTTCACCGTCCCCCCGCCAGCGACGGATCCCATCTCCCAAGCGCAACGGGAAGCAGCCGAGGACAATGAACAAATGTTCAAGCTCAACATCCAGAGCTCGCCGATCCAGGAAGAAGATCCTGAAGAGAGCCAAGCTGCTATAACCAACGTCGCCAGCACCCTAGGCAAGATGAGCGCGCCAACACGAAAGATGGGTACTGTGAGGGGCAGGCGGGATGTTAGGAACACCATCTACGTCCCCGCACCGCCTGGCCGGGATCTCACGAACGAGAATCCCTTCCCATCGTCGCCGCCGCTGGTCAGCCAAACGTCTCGTCCCTCGGCCGTAGCCACACTGGCTTCCGAGGCGAGCATCGCTGCCACATCTGACACGCAGTCCATTCGTTCGGCCAACTCGCTCAGCAGCCTTGCTCACCAGAAGCACCCCGAAATGACCGGCCCTGGCCTCAACTCGTCCATCATCGAGACCGTGACAGCGTCCTTCGAGGATGGAGTGGTGAAGAGTGCCAAGATTAGCGGCGAGATCGCCTTCTCCTATCACGGCGACTCGGATGCGCCAGGTAAGCCCCCACTTGCGGGCGTCATGAATAATAACACACCGCTGACTATGGCCCAGAATCTGAGAGCATTCGTATCAACAACTTCCCCAACCTCGAAGTCATTGGACCGAACCGCATCTTTGTTCACAACGTGTCCCCTGAACAGCCCGATCAGTTCACACTAAACCTATCTCACCTGAACAAGACGGCCACAGCTTTCACCTATCGTGTTCACGATATTGCCGGCTCGGACGCGCCGTCCCTTGCGGAGCATGCACCACTGCTTCTGCGCCCCGGTGGAAGCCCCAGGGCGACAAGCTCGGCCTGCTCCTCCAGTACTCCCTGAACCCCGCAGTCAAGGTGTCGGGCCCTGTGACGCTTCACAATGTCGTGTTCGTCGTCACGTATGAGGGTGCGCGCGCGTCCGGGGCGCAGACCAAGCCTTCCGGTACCCACCTCAAAGAGAAGCAGCTCGTCTACTGGCGTCTCCCCGAGCTCACCCTGACCTCCGAGGTGCACAAGATCGTCTGCCGTATCGTCGGAGCCGAGAACGGGGAACCAAAGCCGGGCCACGTCGAAGCTCGATGGGAGTACACTCCTGCTGAAGGCACCGCCCTCGGCAGCGGCATCTCCGTGTCCAGACTTGAGGAGTCGAAGGGCAAGGGCAAGGACGTCGCGGCCACAGAAGATGACCCTTTTGCCGACGAAGAACTTAACTCGCCTGCCCTGCCTGCTGACCAGAGGTGGGTCGACGTGCCACTTGCGCGAAAGGTCGTCAGTGGAAGGTACGAGGCCAAGTGAACCGTCGTTCGCTGACCAACATTTTCCCCTTTTGTTTGCTCCTTCAGCGGAGCACTCGATGTCTATCCCATAACCTTTTCCTTGTTCCTTCCCCCTTTTTCCTTTAACGTTCAGCATGAGGATGAGAGACGGTTGTTCTGCTTCACGCAGGGCTTTCTTGGCACATGTACATGGGCGGCTTGTTGTATGTAGTGTCGAATCATAGTGTGGAACCGCCATGTTGGGGCAGTTGTATTTAATGCTTGCCGATCGTGACGTGGTGAACAGATTCTCTGGAGGACTGAGACGATCTCCGTCTCAATACTCAACGCTCCGCTTGCGCCAACTTTACCTACCTACCTACCTTAACCCTTGGGTACCTCATCAGAGCATGTTTCCTTTTACCATCATCTGCCCATGCCGCTATTTGGATTTCAGGACCTTCTGAGAGATTTCGGACTGCCGAGGCGCCTTCCAGCACCATGCCCTCGTCCTAAAGATTCGAGGAAACCACTGCCGTCTGAATCACCTCCGTCTTCCGTCACGTTCCGCGAATCGGGGCACCTGCACTTGCACTGCTTCCGGCAGTGGTATCGAGAAGGTACTTAAAGAAACTCACATCTTCAGAACTATTCTATTCCTACCCAACGCAGACCACCTGTCTCACCATACCCTTCGTCCCATTCTCTTTCAGCTTAACCTTGATCCAGCATTCTTTCATCGTTTGCCCCTCTAGCTTGAACCTTGCCTCACCTCACTTTGTCTTACCCAGGGCTATCACGACTATCCATGGAGGGGGGTGAGACTACAGAATCTTCTCTCGTCAAGAGGGAAGGTTCTCTTGGTCTTGGTCCCAGGCCTCCTTCTGCCAACATTGTCAAGCTCGAGGGCAACGATGTCGGAAATCATGTCTCAATGGCCCGACCCGGGACCATGGTTCAGACGTCGGTGACAGTCGAAAGCGATGGTGATGAGGATGCTCGAGCCCCTCGCCCAGGGGTTACATCGTACAAAGATGAAAATCACGTCGACGACCAATCGGACTGCAGCAGCGAATTATCTGAGCCAGAAGAATATTCCGATGACGATTTCGTCGACCCTGCTGAAGCTCGCATTGCGTCCCGACAAGAGGAGAAACAACATCAGCCGGCCAAAGAGAAGTCGAGGACGCCACGCCGCCCAGCAAAGAACGTCGCCGAATATGCGGCCAGGCTCTCCGCCAGCCGCAAGGAGGCATTCCTCAAGTACATGGTGAGTAACATAGGGCTCGTTGACCAAAGAGGCTTCATCCCACCACCGCCGGCTCGAAACAAGTCCAAGAAGAAGCAGAAGAGCACCGAGGTCACACACACCACTGCTGTCCCATCCTACATGCCTTCGTTCTCTGGTGTTGAAGAAGAAGAACCCACTTTCGTCACGAAGGCGGACAACATGAAAGAGATTGCCAAGTGCACAAACAGCGTAGGCAACAACCGTCATGGCAAGACCCAGAAGCGGGATGTCAAAGAAGGCTCCAAGGTCTTCGGTCGAGCCCAAGTCAGATGCTACCACGCAGACACGCCAGCTGGCCCAGAACGACGCTATCAGATCAAGGGCATGATGGCCATGCTGAAGGAATATCAGCTTCCTCTCGCGGCTTGGTGGGTCCTGCAAGAGCACTCAGACATTGGCCCCCAGGGCGGCATTGTCGCTGATATGCCTGGTTTTGGCAAGACCATCGTCACTCTTGCTGCAATCCATGCAATCAACCCGAGACAGCCAAACGAGACGCAGAGAGGGGGCGGACGCTGGTAGTGGCGCCCAACGCTCCGCTTGCTCAACAGTGGAGGGAACGAGATTCGCATCCATCTTGGCCAGAAATATCATGATCAGACCATTCTCCTGTCCACCCTACAGGATGACCGGCTAGATCCCAGGGCCTTGGCCAGAAAGTGGATCGTGTGAGTAACATCATGTCGCCGAACATGAGCTCTTTGGGCAACTTTGAGTTCATGTCACTAATTCCTTTCGCAGAATTGCCACTTATAGTGAGCTTCGGATGAGCTATGAGATGGCCCCTTCTGCTCATGTTGACGAAAGCGACGAAGACTTCGATGAGGGAGATCCCACTGACTACGTTCGACGGTTTCTTCTTGGGGCTGATGAGTACGCGATGGCCGATGATTATATCAAAGGAATACTCCACGAAGTTCAATTCTTCCGCTTGGTATTGGACGAAGTACATAACATCAAAAAACATGCTGGAATGAGTACGTACATCATTTTCTTTTGAACTGAGTCTTGATTTCCCGAAATTTCTAATACCTTTGCCAGCTTTCCGGGCAGCATACGCTGTCAAGGCACAACACAAATGGGGTCTCAGTGGCACACCGCTCAGCAACAGGATTGAAGGTTCGCTCTGGTCAGCATCTAAGAGACAAGTCTTGAGCGTACTGACGATACATTTGTGCTCTAGAGCTATACTCTTACACAAAACTCATCGGTTGCACAAATATCACAAGCTTTCAGGAGTTTAAAGAAGTGTATGTGCTTTCAGTAAGTGGCATAAGTACCAATCGCGGCGATCAAGCTTGGGCGGGCTGGTTGCTGATACAACGTAGAGCGATGCAAAAGATAGGATCGATGTTCTCATGACCAACAACAGCTATCGAAGGTATGCTTTCACATGCAGCTCATTTAGATTTACCATTGCTGACCACCTCCTAGGACGGATCAAGATCTTTTCCTCGGCAACAGAATGATGAAACTTCCCCAAAAGCACATGGAGGACCAGAACGTCCAGCTGACTGCTGTTGAGAAAGCCATCCAGGAGCAAGTTCTCTAGGAAAGACATTGATCAAAAAGCTCAGGGCTGACAATATTTAGGTGGCTGGACATCATATTCGACACTGACGACAACGCAAGAACCGGCAACAAAAAGTATGTTGGTCACATGCGGTACAGGCAGTTGGTGTCGCACGCCTATTCCCTGGAGTCTTTCCTCCGGGATGACGGTCCGAACGGCGTATCCGTGGACGAGCTGCAGGTGCTGCTTGAGATGGTGCGAAAGGTCGAGGAGCAGCCAAGGACACCTAGCACTCTTGATCAAATTGGATGCTGGTCTGAGCGACAAGTCAACCATGATGCAAGGTCTTCTAGCGTGGCCAGACCGAAGACCCTTAACCCATTTGGCAGTTCGGAGTTTGGAACACGGTGCTGCCCCTTCGCGCCGCTCATTGAAATGATCATCGATTATCACCAAATACGAGCCACAGGCTGCTCAAAGTGCGATGGTCCCGTTTCTGATCCTCAGAAAGCACAAGCAGTAGGTCATAGGCAGTCATGAGGAATCCTGCTTGTTCCTAGAGGAATACACTGACATCTTTTCTACCAGTGTGGTCATTATATCTGCGGCGGTTGTCTAACCGAGTGGCTCAAAACCGAACAACGCACTAAGTGTCCTCGCTGCAATACTCCGACACCGTTCCTCAAGATAATAACCCTCGGTACGCTGGAGACTCAATTTGACGCCCAAGAGCAAGCAAGGGAAGGCGAGATCAAAAGCTCATTGAAGAGGAAGCGGGCAAGCCGACCGAACTTCAACCGCAGAGGTGGGCGAGCGGCTCAACAAGCTCGCCGATCAGCCACCGACCCTAGTGACCGTCGTGTCGGACAAGACAACCAAGGCGTGACGCCTTTACTTGCACCCCGCGATACTACCTTTATCAAGGCAGCTTGCGTCTTGAACAACAGAATGCCGGCCGCGGGCTCGAAGCTCACGGCAGTCAAGGACACTCTGCTCAGATGGCAGAGAGATTTCCCAAAAGACAAGTGCATCAGTAAGTAGAACGAGGTTATTGATCCCGACCGAGCTAATCGAGGCATAGTCTTTGTGCAATTCGTCAAAACACTTCTGATGACAGGCATCATGCTCCAGCTTGAAGGCATTGACTTCGTCTACACCTATGGCAAAATGTTGTCAAAGCAAAAGTCGAAGGCCAAAAATATATTCGAGACTGAACCGACTGTCAAGGTCCTGGTGAGTATCCAGTGGGTATCGTGTTGCTGCAAGACCTAGGGCTGACAAGTGTATGAAACAGGTCGCAACCATGGGAACATGTAGCGAAGGCCTCAACTTGACGTGCGCCAATCGTGTCATTGTTGTTGACGCTTGGTGGAACAGTGCGAGGGAGCAGCAGTCATTCGGCCGTGTCGTCCGCACTGGACAATGCAAAGAGACGTACTGCGTGAGGCTGAAATCGCCGAATTCAATTGACGACAAGATTGAGAGGATTCAGACCAGCAAGAATGAGGTCGTGGACTGTGCCGTCCAGGATGACGGGCACGACCCCTTTACTCTCTCCGAGCTTGGCGTCATGAATCTGCTCAACCCTGAGAAATACCTGCAACTCTGCAAAGAAACTCTATCGAAGATCAAGAACCTAAAGGAGGCCGAACTTGCGAAGTGAGGAGATCACTGATAATCTCCTCCGAGCCGGCGAGGGTGGAGACGAGGTGGGCGTTTCTGAGGTTCGGACGCAGGATGCTCAATATCATATATCACAGCATATTACTTACAAGTCTTTTGCGCTCAAAGGGATTTTCGTCGCTTTTATTTCTGCTTGTAGGAGAGGCCAGTTCTCAGATATTTGCTATTTTCCTCTTCTGTTGGCCTGGGAGCGGGGTTTCTGAGGGTAGAACGGCCATCACAATCTGAGACTGGACTGCAGTGCTGGATATCGGACACGTTTGCCACGGGCAATGAACTTTCTCCAATAATACACATAGCTTAAATCACAGGTTAAACACGCGGTAACTCATATGGCTGTGGTTCTTGCCAGATAAAGCAACATTGAACTCGAAAGACCGGTTTTGGAGTTTCCCGAGGAAAGCTATGCGTTCGGCTACAGTGGCAGACGCAGCTGTGAGAAGTGCCGCGGCAGAATGGGCCCCGTGATTGAAACACTTACGGAAGATCAATTGCAACTACGTGTCGACCTATCTCGGTATCCTAGTTCGGTATCATCAAGGTGTCGCCTTTTCGAGTTGGTATGTCTCCATCCCAACCCAAGCAGAAAGACTCGGCGGGCCTTCATTTGCTACTTTCTGTTGTTCTTCGCCATCGAATCCAGGATAGCGTTTCCTTGCGCAATGTCGTCCGGCGTCACTGAAAGGGGTCAGCTGGATGTGTGCAGGTATGGGCGTCATGGAGTACTCTTCAATCCATAACTGTGTTGAAAGTTCTGGCGCCCGCCCCAAGCTTTGGCGATCTCGTGTCGCGTGTCGTAGCCCGAGGACGGCTGACTGGTCGGCGCCGACGCCCTGTATCCCGTCTGCTTCGAACTGCTGCTGCTGTTTGACGGCATGATGCGGAAGATGCAATGGTGAGGAAAGTTATGGACAGTTGATGGTAAAAGAAGGAGGAGTTGGCCTGGACGTGAGCACCGGGCTTCGCCTTACAACATGTCCCTCAAGATGAGGTGAGTTTGACTTTGCAAGCGGGGTCACCCCGCCAAGTGATACGCTGTCTTTCGTAGACACCACCCTCTCCCACAGAGCACATCACTTTCGTGGGAGTGCGTCGTTTTAAGTTGCGGCGTCTCCTCGTCCAGTCTCATTCTCAATTATCGACAGAGATACTCGCCAGTGCGCATTGACTGGCAATAGCCTTATCATCTCAGTGATTACACAGGTAGCGGTTGGCCAGGCCTCCGGCAGTGCGAAGGAGACGAGGAGTCCCCATTTATGCAGTCTCAGGCCTTATGATAAGTATGTAGAGTTTGTATCTAGCCCTGAAGAACACTTATCCTACCTACGCAACAATCGCTCAAGATAAGTATTTCGATGTGAAGTAAACAAAAGCGTAAGAGGTTAGGAAAGAGGCCAAGGCTGAGGCTACCAAAGGCGGTGTCTTTCGGTGAGTCTCGGTGAATGTTACTGCCGGGAACCCCACTAAAAAATCCAATCCCCCGCGACCCAGGTCAACTTTTTTCGTCGCAAACTCGACGCTTTCACGATTCCACGACAATCCCCAACACATCTCGCCAGGACCGTCGACGCCATGTCCAAATCAGACAAGATCACCGACTCGAGGTTCTCGAATTTCGAGACCGACCCCCGGTTTCGTCTTCCCTCCAAGAAGAAAACCAAGACCACAATCGACAAGCGATTCTCACGCATGCTCAAGGATGATGAGTTCACCGCCACAGCAAAAGTCGATCGATACGGCAGGAAGTTGAAGTCCGACTCGAAGAAGAAGGCCCTGCAGAGACTGTACGAAGAGGAGGGCGAAGAGGACAAGGAAGACAAAGAGGAAGACGAGGACACCCCTGAGGTTGAGGACGACGATGTGGTCGAACGGGAGCTCAAGGCTGCCGACGCCAATTACGATCCCGCACGTGGCGGAGGCTTCTCTTCCTCTGATGAGGACTCGGATTCGGAAGAGGAGCAGGAAGATGAGGATGACGCTGCGGCCGAGGCCGGTGGTTCCATGCAGCGCCTTCGCGACGAGCAGGCTGCTGTCGAGGAAGGCGAGGTCACGAACCGTATCGCCGTCGTCAACCTTGACTGGGACCACATCAAGTCGCAAGACCTAATGGCTCTCTTCAGCAGCTTCCTGCCCACGACTGGCGGCAGGATAGAAAAAGGTGACCGTCT